GTCATCTTTATCCTCCTTATCCTTATTTTGTCTTCGCAAATTACAGCAAACTGTCCCACGGAATACTATCATAATAAATTGTAAAACCTGACCGTTTTTAGTGATTTATCAACGGCAAAATGCAGCTCTTCGTATATGGCAGGGTTGTAATGATCCTTCATTTTCTTTCCGTGTTTTCAATATGCAATTGCATAGTCTATTTTTGGGAATGAGACTGTACGGAATACAGAAATGGGGCAGATGAGCGGTGGTGACGGAATCCGAACTCATCACTTCCTTATTGCTATATTGGTGACCTTATTCGTCTGACCACTGCCGTTCAGTACTAAAGGGAACTGTGATTGGGGATGGAGTGGGGGGGGGGAGGCGTAAGAACACAGAGAACTGGCGAATTTCGATCGGAAATTATCATTAGTTACTCAAAATTGATGTTCTATTAACTCCACACAAGCCGGTAGCTTACTTTGCCTATTCAGTACGTTTTCTCTCACTGGAGAGGAATGATTCGGCTTCCTGGCTGTCTCGTCTATCGGCTTTACTTGAACCGTGGACTGCTTTGAGGTGGGTGTACATGGCGATTCCATTGCAGCTTCTTAGCCGGACTCTTTAAACCGAACTCGCTGTTTTGCTCCATGTTTTGAGTTGCCTGCACAGCTGAAGAGTAAACTGTTTCTGGCGCTAGTCATTTTAGCAATCAGTTTTTCTCTAAGATGTGAAGTTCGGACAAGTGGTTTGAACTCGAGAGCACACTGCCTGTGCTTATGTTTCATGTCAGCACCGTTCTCCATCGGTAAGCATGGCCAAACATTCAACATTGAGTGCATTCCCGTATGACACCCATCTGCTCAAGATTTATCGAAATTATTGATCAAGTACAACACTGTTCTCTTTATTAAAAGGGGATTTTTTGATTTTTACCTATCTGTGCTATTAAATGATATCGCATTTCAATCAGTTCCGGATATGATAGTGGCACTAACGGACGATGCAGTTCGTGATGCAGTGCAGTGAGCAAAATAACATAAACGGTTTCACTCAGTTCTTTTTTTTTGCATTATTTGTAGTCACTTCCTTACTCACTGTGTTACTGCCTAGGGTGGTGACACATCACGTATCGTTTTCTCTCCCCTAAGCAAGTTGTTATCCGGAAACTGTTAAGCTCGTTAAGCTGCTAGTAATCCGTAAAATTCTTCTCCCATTCTGTGTGCATGGTTAATGGTTGTACAAACTGAACTGGACCTTTTTGTGAACGAGGTCTATACTACATGCATAAAATCGTTCGAAAATGTTATCTCTGTCCCTTCTCGTCCTCTGTCTATATATCTTTTAATTTGTACTTGATCCATCTCATTTTCTATATATATCTTACCTCTACTGTTCTCTTGGCATCCTTTCGAGGTTTGCGGAGATGTTGAGTCCATCAGTCCCTTATTATTCTGCCCACACAAGATTCTGATCACTGTTCTGTTCACTGTACTCATTCAACATATTTTTAAAGATCCAAACCACTTCAAACGATTCGCCAATTCCGTTCTTGACCGGAGCACTGCACACTTATGCACATATACTCTCTTAATCGACAGGAGAATTTTGTGCCAGATCAATACTCACAATGCCTTCTACCTGCCTAACATTTCACCAACCGACCACCGTGCCGATTTGAGTCGCGTGTGTGCGTGCGTCCGTGCGTGTTACCTGATGTGCACGTTTGCGCTTTTTATGGATGAATGGCCGTGTCTGTTATATTCTCTGATCGGACATTGTGCTTCATCTTCATTGTTATAAAAGCTCGTGCACACCAACGGTGNCGCCCAGGTTCTTCAATGCATACCTGCCCTCATGCACACACGCACACACCGCGTTCACTCCGGCAGCTGTGTAGCCGGCAAATATTGACCGCTTGCCTAACCTCATAAGGTCACAATTGGAGAGAACGCATCGTTCGTCTCGTTTTGCCCTCTCAACAACGGTCCTTGCAGTCTCTCTCGCTCGCTCGTGTGCTCACTTCGTCTGGGTTCAATGTTGTCCGTCAAATTTGAGACATGTGGGTGGATGACTGATTGAAATCATCCACACACTTGCGTGTGTACGTAAATAAGATCACGCGGTTTGGTGCGGCTGGCACCGNTGGCACCGAGCGCAGTGCATCTGTGTGTCCATCGCTGATTGCACTAGCTGCTTGTGGACATACATGGACTACACTGCGGTGGATACCCTCTTGGTCCCATCCGAAACTTGTGTCCACTCGACTTTGCAGCTGGGGCATTTTGATCTGGCTGTTACTATACGAGATCGGTGCCACTCCTCTGGGGTGCTCTTATGTCTGCTCAGGTCGTTTGTTGTACATCCTGTATTTCTGGTTTTCTCATGTTCTCACGGTGGCTCGCCTTCTGCACAACAGGTGTGCATGACCTGTCTTGTTTGTTTGTTTGTGTGTGTATGCGTATGAGTTGCGTGCTTTATGGTTGCATAAACCTAGAGACTTTTGTATGTTTGTACACATTTCTTGCCCGTCAAGAGCTGTTGTGTGCTCACTCACAAGGTTGTGCAAACACTCATGGAAACCAGCCCTGCACTTCGCACTGCGAGTGACAGCCATGCTGCTAATGCTTTCTATGAGGCGGCCACTCTATAGTCCGCTCACGAGTTGATTTTGACTGGACATGTCTTACACTCTTGCGGAATATGTGCGTTTGTGCAGGGTTGTGTTGCACATGAAACGGTGCATCTTAGCCCGGTACGCATATACAACAAAGCAGATAAGCCTGTTGAGCCTGTTGTTGAGTATCCGTGTGCGTACACCGTGCACATCCTGACAGACTCGCACCACTGTGAGTAGTCGAGAGTGCAATTGCCCGTGCGTGCAGCGTTTCAGTTTAGCTTGGAGTATACGTACGTGTGCGTGTGTGCGTGCTTTTATGTGCAGCAAGCGTTGCACCCAGTAGCTTCACTATGTGCTCATCATCATCAGCCACTCGGTCGTTCGCAGTTGGTTGCACGCATCCGATCACGGCCGCACGGGTGCGTGCGCGATCATGTGTGCATTTGTGCGCGTACGCAAGCAAACAAATGTGTGGTGGCTAGACAGACAGTGCAATGGACATATGAGTGCTCGCGCTCAAGATGCACGTCATTTGTCGCTGGGGTTTTTTCACTGCCTCAGTCATTCACTCAACCGGCTAGCCATCCAGTCGATCGAAATGGCTTGATTCGCCATTCGGCCCAAAATCTGTACCGGCCCATTATATCCTGCTTCTCTACATGTGTCTTCGTGCACGTACCTCCGTCTGTGCGTTTCTGTTTGGGTGCAGTGTGCTCGTCATGCTCATAGTCCACTCGCCCACACGTTCATATACTTGTTAGGTGGCTAGCGTGCGCACACACCAGAGTTCGGTCATGTATGTGTGTTTGTGCGGGTGCGTCTATGTGCGCGCGTGCGGTTGGATGCTCTCAACGGCACAAAAACCACTCCAACTGGTGCTCGTCCAGCTAATCACAGGCTGATGCAGCTGATGTGCCGCTGTCTGTGTATTTGCTTTTCAAACCGCCAAAACCGGACTTTCCTGTGATTTCAACCCCCGACATCTTATCACCTGACGCATTCGAGCGTCTTCGGTATCCTGTTTTTTTGACGCCTGATCGCCTGATCACCTTCCCGATTCTCAATGTCCGAACTGACAGAAAAACGAAACGAACTTGCCAAAGAAGACCAAACAACGTGCGATCGGGAGGAACCCTTATCTCAGCCGTTGCTGGTGACCAAATCCAATTCAACGGAAATGGAACTTAAAGTATCTCCTCCACAAATACTGAATGATTCCACCTCAGCCTTTCATTCCGCTCTGTCCCCATCCCATTCCTGTGTATCATCGACCCCATTCCTTCGCCCAAATTCCTCTACAGAACACCCACTCGTGCTTTCCACGGACACGTCAAACGTGACCAGCAGTGATTTGNTCCCGTCCGTCATCACCCTTGCCTCCGTATCTACACCAAGAGACTCCAAAAATATCAGTTGATCCTTCTACTATTGTCACCATCACCATTAGCACAACAACCGACACTACGACTACTTCTTCACCCGTTTGCATCCCTGGCCCAAACAAACTTCCCTCACGGACGACACAGTCTCCGTCACCTGCACCTGCCACGGCCGCAACCACGACTGCTTCAGCCACCATCAAACGGCCGCGACAAAAGCCTAATGAAAGGCGGGAACTTTTAATTCGTGCGGTGGAAGATGTGCTGAATTCAAATATTTCAATGCGACGTGCTGCACAAAAGCACAACTTAGCCAAATCATCTCTTTGTGATTTTGTCCGCAAGAACAAAATTTCCCTCCCTAATCTTCGAGTGAAAGCTTGCTCATCTGCTTCGGACTCCAACTCAGTTCAGAGTTTTTCACGGTCAACTGGCATGCATTCGTCTAACAACTCGGGCGTTACGCTAGGATTGAAACGTGTGTCGTCCGACCTCGAGGAATTTCAACCTACGGCCAAACTAACTTGTCCGGCTGATCGTAAACCCTGTGCACTAAACAAATGCCGAGATCACAATTCGCACATAAACGAAATTTCGGACAGTCGGGCTAATTCCACTTGCTCCGCGAATCAGCTGTCGTCTGCCTTTGCGGATTCCCCCCTGTCAGTTGATGCATTGGAGTGCGAACAGTCTGCCTCAAAAAGTCCCTATGCTCCCATCCGGTCTGGTAGTAATAGTAGTCATCTTGGAGCCAACTCTGCCTCTGCAACATCTGGTGCTTCATTGACTACCCTTCCCACAAACAGTTCAACAGGCGGCAATACACTCACGTCCAGTCGGCCCAATTCGGTAACTCACTCCAAACCAAATCGGATTGAGAGTCCATGGTATAACGCTGCCGGACTACCAACCCAAGTGCCAATGCGATCGTGGACTGTTACTCATCATCCACCTCCGGTAAACGGAAATACCACAACAACGGGGGCTTCGTGTAATGTTTCGTCCGAACGAAAACCAACGACCTACAATTCTCTCTTCCAACTGCGGCAAACTTTGGATGCATCTAATGTGGTCGTGAATCTGTCCGACCCAAACACACATCTAGACAACATGACTGTGAATTTACTTTGTAATATAGCTGATGCCACTGGAAACTCTCCTTCTGAGACACTTAGAGCAAGACAGACACCCAGCTCGGAAGATGGCGAGCCGGTTCTTGCCTCGGACCGTTCAGACAGTTTGAACAAGCATCAGCAACCACAACAGCAAGATATACGGAGNAGTCCGGCCACTGCTAAACCATGTCAAGATATGGACGTGGTGAGTGCTGTTTGTTACTCGTTGCGTCCACATTTTATGCAGGATAGATCGGACAAAAATCGAGATACCTTGAGGGCTTCACAGTAATAAGCATGCATAGTAAATAATCATATGGACACATTGTGAGTATTTTGTTAACTCGTTTAGCTTGTTGTCGATGATAATCGTTTGTTACAACAAAAACCGTAAATTGTTGAGACACTGTTAAAAACCGTAACCATCAATCTAGTGTGGTAAACCAGTCCGTTCGGCATGCACAACTGTGCACTTGCCAAGAGCAATATCAATTTATGATCGTCTAGGAAGCTGTAAGGTCTTACTCGCTTTTTTATTTGAGATGCTCCGTTGTACATCTCCAGTTTACAGCTTACTATACGATGCTAGTCCTTGCTTTATGCAGGGTGGCTTATTATTATAATTATTTTTCGAATAGGAGAAAATTGCCATCCTTACCAATATTATATATCCGTAATTGTTTAGTGAAAGTTTCTATTCTAGATAGTAGATTTCATTTACACAAATAAAGCGGTATCTAGTTTAATTAGAAAGGAAATGCCATCAAAATTCATAATTTGGGTTCATGTTTTGCCGTACTGGTCGTCAACTGAACCTTAGTGACAGACCACATTTCTGCTTTTCGCGCCTTATAAACGCACAGCCGGAAAACCGCTCCACCTCGGAAGCGGATAGAGGAACTTTCCGGATTGAATTGAATGGTACAAATGAATCCCTTCTTAGCGGATTGCAGCGACTGGACAGTCGTCCCACTCCAGTGCAGTCACCTCAATATATCAATGATCCAGCAAGTAGCACTAGT